AGGTAGCCTGCGTGGCAGTCAAAATTCAGAAGCGATACGCATGTAGATCTCTCAAGTCAAACTTCTCCTCCTTCATGACGAGTGGCAGATGGGAGGCATTGAAACACCTGCCTGAACCGTCCGGCCATCCAATATTTACAAAAGAACTCTGTCGTCACTCGCAAAATACGCCATTATTGCAAATTATCGGGCTTGGGAAGTTGGAAATACGACTCGGCGAGTTCAACGAGTTTCCTCACTACTAAATTCTACCGAGCTGCATTCCTTTGGTAAGTAACTGATGAATACACTGTACCTTTGTTTTCATATATTAGTTTTTAATTATAATTTTAAAGAGATTTTATATGTTTAGCGCTTTCTTAAAATTGATTTCATGTTGCTTGTCTGGGAGTGTTTCTAACTTATATTTATGTGACTCGGTGCATATAGTATAGCAATTGCAAATTAATAGTATATGCAAGTTCAACGAACAAAGCAAAAATAAAGTCTCGAACTCTCAATTCGTATTAAAATGCATGTATTTCATGAACACTTCATTTTAAAATATTCCCTATTAATAAATTATTCGACGAAAATGCCTCATTTTAAAGATCGTGAAAACATTAGGACATGCAGAGCTATAATGTCTGGTCGACCTCACACTGTTAGAAAACAACTTATACAGAAGTACTTTTTAGTTATAAATATTTGAAAAACACTGACACAGGATGAAGGTTGCCAGAATGATTGAATATTGATATTGCTGTCGTCACTGTTATGGATCATTTTAACATAGAGTTTAATCGACTATTAGATTTACTTACGGTAATTGTATTTACTGACGTGGACGACAGATTATTTATAATTATAGAAGCACGTATATTGAATTTAGACTTGACTTTAGTGTCTGTACGTTTCATAAGAATCTGTACTAACGGAATACTTTTATAGTGGACTGCTATAATCATAATATATGTTAGATCGAGGGGTTGGATGTGTATACAATGGCGTCAATGCATAACTTTTAGGTAAAATTTTTTGACAATCAATGAATCAATTTACTTTAATAAAAAAAAACTCTAGTGCACAGCATACTGTAATTTAGTTCATGAGGGCCATTTTTTGCGTATATTTGTTTCAGAACTGAACTTGTACGCACTGTCTGCACATGCAGTGGTTGTATACTCGTGTCCCTTGGGAAATCATTTCTTAAATTTAATGGAAGATTGAGAATAAAGATCTATAGGCCTACATGCATGCATGCAATATACCTACAAGCTGTAGATGGATTAGATTATCGACATTATACTATATATATATATTTAATTTTGTCAGTAATAAGGACATTATACACTGCCTGCATGCATGCACGAACAAATATTGTATAAGTGAGCATGCAATTTCAGCAGGTCACCGACTAAATTAAAGCCAAATTAAATTTACATTGAGCGCAAAATTTTTAAAGGTCCATGAAATCAAGATATACTATTTTAATTCGCATGCACGGTGTCTTTTTCAGTGATTATAGGACGCAAACTTGAGAAAGATATTGAATATAGAAATGGTTCTAATATTTCAAGGAAATACCGGTGATGCCAATGCAGATTACATTTTGTTCACATTAATACGCCAGTGACGATGAAGCCCGTTGTCACAGAAAATTCACCCTCCTTCCCAGGAATTTTCCCCTAGGAATTTGGTGCATCAGGTGGGGTCGGGCAGAGAAATTGACGGAGGGGGCGGATTTTTGAAACTCCGAAGTGATTTCTTAATTTTAGGGTGACAGTGCAGAATTCAATCAACGTCAATGGCTTCATATTAATATCCAGTTTGTTTCATTCATTCAACATTTACACTGTAAACAACCTATCAATTGGTTGAAAATTAATCTGAGACAAGCGAGCGATTTATGGGTTATTCGATACCTATTTCGTTTTTACCGAGCCGTGTACCTTGTTATTGGTCAGTTTCGATACAGACAAGAATTCTATAGAACAATCCTTTTCTTTGTATCGTAACTGACCAAACAAGGTAGCCTACATATAGAACAATCTTTTTCTTTGTATCGAAACTGACCAAACAAGGTAGCCTACATATAGAACAATCCTTTTCTTTGTATCGAAACTGACCAAACAAGGTAACCTACATATAGAACAATCCTTTTCTTTGTATCGAAACTGACCAAATAGGTAGGTTTCGAAACTGGCCATGCAAACAATATTGCATGGGCGCACTTGAGACAAACAGCTGGTCTCATAATAATTATGTATGTAGCTACAACCCTGGTTAAACGATGAGAGTTTATAAGAGCTGACGCCTGGCAGTCGTGCACTAATACAGAGGATATTTCAAGCTCTAGATTTGCAAAATAAAGGTTTGATAAGTGTTCCAAATAATTATGTTTTAATAACTAATTAAAAGGAGTATAATACATAATAGTATCGCATTAAGAACAACTATACCAAGGTCTCGTGACTGCCAACTCTTATGCACTCTCATCTTGGTAATTGGTTCGGGCTTTTCGTTTGACTATTTTTAGCCTATATATAGGCACTACATATACGTGCGTCACATACACTAACACAGATGGCATTTAGAGAAAGTAACTAATAATATATCTGTATCCCACGCTTGTAAATTAAATGTTTTATAGAGCGAAATTGGGTTTAAAAATGGCCAAGTTGAAATTATGAAAACTTATTCAATATATATGATGTATTATAATTGTATTACTTCAGTTTCACATGCAATGACTTCAAATGGTTCAGAAGGATTATACATGCACTCTTCCAAACTATATTTTATTTCATATTAGTAATTAAGTCTATTATAATAATTTTATTTCATGAAACATGCAAGATTTTCAGACTTGTAAAAATTTTAAGCGAAAGTTAGTATATAAATTTGAAACCTGACCGTGATATATATATACTATACAGAAATAGCTAATAGATACATGTATAGAATGCATAAATATTTTATCACGAATCATGTTTCCACTTTAATTTAAATTTTCTTACTATATATGCATCTCATAGGGCCCGTTTACACTATTCCGGATTGCATCGGAGCGGGGCGATTTTCATACCGGATTCGGGCTGCTGTTTACACTGCGCCACAGTAATCCAGTACGCGACGCGGAGCAAAAATTACTCCGCTTTGGAGGTGATATGAAAAGTAATCCGGGTGCCGGAGCAGTGTAAACAGGCCAATCCGGTAAGCTTCGGTACAAAATCGGTTTTGAGTGTATGTTTTAACTGATTATCGCCTTTATTTGCTCGCTTTTACAATACTTTATAGCTGTTGTTTGTTTCGCCTTACAACCATTTACTACTTCTGGCGAAGACAAATAAAGAAAACCACAATAACATTTTCCCTTTCGAAAGAGCAAAATTTGAAGAAATATTCGTCAATTTTGGATTAGAGCGAAACGAAGCAACGTTTGGTGGTCAAGCGTTTTAAACAATATTATTACTTCTTGTTTTTAATAAATTTTAGTAGTATATTGGCAAACTGCTTTTCTTATTTCCATGGCGACAGTGAAAGACATAAGCTGGCAACAGAGCGAAACGGCATAGTGTAAATACCTTTGTTTTTTTTTACTTCAGAGTGAATATTAATCCGGTATGAAAAGTAATCCTGTATTGTGTAAACGGGGCCTTATATATATAAATCCGCAATAATATTGAATTGAAAGAGAGAGAACTACAAAGTATAAAAAACTAAGACTATTGTAAGTTTTTATCGTCGAAAACTTTGATCTTGCTATTTTAATCTGCATTTTGTGTAAAGGTTTTAAAGCAAATATATAAGTACTGCATTATAGTGCGAAGTTTTACAAAACCATAAGACATGATTTACGATTAAAAATTTTTGCATGTCTCTTTGATATACATATCGTTTGCTAATACAGCATGATCATTCTTTATATATTAAGAGGTACTGATTTTCCAAACTAAAACCCTTGGAAAACTGTCGTTTCAATCTGTGAAGCAGGCAACAAAAAATAAAAAATTAATTAAAAGTAAAGTTTGTCTGTATTTAGTTCCATGGCCTGCAGAATGGGGCCTGATTCGTTCAATTTTTTTTGTTCAGAGAACTATTTTGTAGATGCGTGTTTGATTTTGGCGAGAAGACATATAATGCATGCAGGGAAATCAAATCAATCATGGAAACTCGTTCTGTCGTCGTTCAGTATTCGTGCATGCAGCTAAGCCGGAGGTCACAAACATTTACGTGTGCAAAATTCGCTATTAAATTTATTTAAGATATTGATTAATATCTCGGCCGTTTTTAAGCTAGACTTAGTGGTCATGGTCCTGGTAAGGGGAAAGAGCCAATTAACGGAAAAGTTTTGTCAGGTTGAGCAACACTGATATCCCTGCTAATTATTTCGAAATTCATAAACGATTCATTTTGAAATTTTGTAATTTTATTTTGCTTTAATGATTTGCTAATGCATGAGCATGAAATTATCTAAAAGTTGACAAGAAAGCTTGCAGGTATGTAAGGCATTAAAACCGGAAGGATTAATATTTAGAGCTAGTGAATATTTTACAGAATATTAAAAATATATTTTTGTCATTAATATAGACTATGAAATTATGAGTGCTGCTTCAGACAACTGGATTTCTCGCACAATTTTCACCACATTTGCCATCGCGGCATTTCTTGGTAACGGTTTGGTGCTCGGATGTTATTTGAAGAAACGTAAACGACCCACCTTAACACCGTTCGACATATACGTAATCAACCTCGCTTTGTCTGATGTTCTTGCAGGCGTTTTCTTGATTTTCAATCGGTTCGTATACCTACCAGCGATGCCCAACTCTCAGCCTAACGCACATTTATTTTGCACTATTTTATGGGGAGGTTACATATTATTTGGTCTCTGTTACGTTTCGGTGTACACTTGTGTTGCTCTTACAATTGAACGCTGGTTAGCAGTAGTTAAACCCCATATCTATCGTCGAATTAAGAACAAAAACGCACTAATCTCTCTGATATTTGTCTGGCTTTGGGCTTTCTTCATTAACTCGACTGTGTTTATCAGTGTTGATGAAAATTTCGAAAAGGGAAAGTGTAAGTGGGTAGAGCCAAATTTTGGTGAAAAAATTTTCCCATTTTTGGAATTGAGTTTCTCTTGTGTCTTACCATTTTCAATTATCATATTTCTGTATTCCCATATCGTGTGGAAAATACGACGGATGGAGAATTTTTTAAAGCAATCAAAGCACAACTACAAAAGACGGATCACGATTATTGGTCTTGCTGCTTCGGCCGCTTTAGTGGTCGGCTGGACGCCTGTGAAAGTTAGTTTCATGCTGAGATATACAGGCGTTGGAGGAAAGCATCTTCAAGGACCAATACATTTGGCCTTTATAATGTTAGCGTCGAGCAACAGCTTTGTTAACCCAATTTTGTATGGAATTTACAGTTCAAAGTTTAGAGATGAATATAAAGAAATAATTGGTGGATTTTTTTGCCAAATATTTACAAGGCAATCCAGTGGGAGAAGAGAAAAGAAAAGCACATCAAAAAACTTAATTGAATTAGTATGATGACCGCACATATTGATTAAAATTGATCGTTCTTAATTGTGTGATAAAAAATAATCGTTGTAATAATTAATAATTAAAACTAAATCTCTCAAACTATATGAATATTCTAGATCAACCATAACCGTAGTGAATAAAATCAAACTTTATCAATATAGATATGAATCATAACTGGATGACAATAATTCATATCATATCGATAGAATTCACTCGTAAAAATAATTGTAGGTTGAGAATCGATGGGTGACAATGTATAAATAGATTGATGTTGGAAAATTGAAGTCGATATATGATAATCATATTAATTATGTTTGACTTTGTCAGTTTGTTGTATCAATTACTTTGCAAGAGACGTTACAACACATAATATGTGAAATATTTGTTTGGCCATAGGCATACGGTAGGGAAAAAATTAGGGGGCCAGAAAGAAATTTGCCCGACTTTTTGCATTTTGCCCGACTTATCAAAAAATATTTTTCTGCATGTGTAAATTTTCCGCACGGGTCAATAATTTTTGGAAAACCTTATATATTTCTCGAATTTTCGACTTTTATCTTGCTAATCAGTATATAGAGTACATGAAAACATTTCTCAATTTTGATTGGCTAAGAGCATGCAGTGCAATTTTTTCGAAATACAGTGCCCAAAAAATGAAATGCAGTGCAAAAAAAAGAAATATACAGTGCAAATTTCTTAATTTTCTTACTTTCTAAATATGACTTACGCACTTGACTGCATAATTTTTTGATGTATATTACTAATAAGTATAATAGTATGGTTTCTCGTGCAGCTTTCTTGTGGGTTTTCAAAGACTACAAATTGCACTCGTCCTTCGGACTCGTGCAATTTTGATAGTCTTTGAAAAACTCACTCGTGCATGCATGTTTTTTCCAAATTTTACACGAAACCATACCATTACCTATACATATTTCTTGCTTTTAAATATATTTCCCCCATCTTTTTGCCCAACTTAGGTTTATAATTTACTCAACTTCAAGTTCTTTGGGGGTTGCCTCCCAAAATAGCGGACTATTTAGATTGACGTAATATTCTCGATGCAGGCCGGTGATCGCAAGAGTTGAACATCATTGTGAGACAAAAGACTATGCATCAGGAGCGGCAATTGTCTTGGACCAATCGTTTTACTCATTGGCGCATGCACGTAATTAATTCAAAGTAATTTAAATAATGCGACGGCATTGTGTCGTATTCACCCCAACTCGTGCATGAATAGATAAGTAGTGGCAAACATAAACAGAACTAAATTATATGAAGAGTGACAGTCGATCAAAAAGCGAGACTCTATCTCTCCATCATACATATATACATAACTGAACTATAACAAAACTTGAAGTGCAATTGGTGCTTAGTATACTCCATCAATCAACTCTATCTAGGTCAGAGAGAAAGATAAGTAACACATTATCAGCTGAACCAAATTATTGAGAGTGTTTCCAGTATCATCGACCAATAAAGCGAGACACAGTCTTTCCTCGCATCACTTTATCATCTGCCAAGATTAACTTTTTGAAACTTCGTGTACATCGTATGACTATGCATGGATTCATGTAGAAATCTTAGTTTAGACCCAAACAAATTAAATAATTGTCAGTTATAGCTACACATATTTTATGAAATTTTATTAGCTAGCTAACTTTTGTTTGTACACTATACACTATAATATAACATCTTGAGAGCTTTGAAATTGAAGTGGATATTACTCGTGAGTTTTTCAAAGACCTGAAATAGCGTGCTTACAGATTTCATAAATACAAGTAAATATAAATCATAAAATTATTAATTTAGGCCTCAAAATATATATGGAATCATTTAAAGAATATGAGTTTAAAATACCAAAAACGTTGCAAAATATCGTTTTACAAAACAAGGTCGGAAAATAGACGCCTTTGTCGTAAATTGCCTCCAAAAGGTGTCTACGACAATTCACAATAATATTTAGTTTTATGGTGTTCACAAAAATTTATTTAAAGTACACAAAATCATTTCACAAATCTATCGCTATCAGTGGGGCGGATAAGGGCATAATTTTTCAATAGTTTTGCAGCAGTTATAATTATAGTGAAGAAAGCACTCGCATATTGTCAGTATATGTGTAGACTTTGACACAAGTATGAATATAAACTGTGAATCGAAATTAACGCTGATACCTAACAATTTTGAATTTCTGCAGATATTTGTCATTTGAATATATATTTCTATTATACTGATAGAAATTTTAAAATTCCAAGATAGCTCACAGAAAAAATTCGTTGTATGGGTTTTTATTTGCCGCAAGTCGTTTTTAAGTCAATCAGTTTCGAAATCGCACAAAATAGACAAAAAATAGGTGCAAAGGCTAGCACCTAGCTTGAAATTGCCTTTTTTAATAAACAGATTGCACCTCAGGAAATGTTTGGAAAATCAAAAAACTGCTTTAATGTTCGGTAGACAGTTTTTGTGTACGTTTCAAACATAGAACTTATTTTTTCTGTGAGCTACCTTGGAATTTTAAAATTTCTATTAGAAATAGAAATTCATAATAAAATGTCAGAATTAAATTCCAAATTTTTGGCTATTATCGTTAATTTCACAAATGCCTCCATATATGATATTCATACTTGTGTCAAAGTCTACACATCCTGTCGATATGGTGCTTTCTTCACAAAATGCACAATACTTTCACTTATCCGCCCCACTACTATAACTAAACAAACGAACTCCCACGCTCGTTTGAAGTGGCCCAAAAACATGTGTTCATTCACCAGAAATGTCTATACATGCACGTACTTCCGGCTTTTAACAAATGTTAATTACTGTACATGTACATCTACTGTTTCTATCAAGGGAGCACGCAAGAGTTCGTTTTTCCTGTCTTTTACTCACTTTATTACCCCAAAATTGCAATGTGTGGTTAATTTCTTTAACTCAGCTATATAACTTAAAATGCTCTCCCCTTCTTGCTGATTTCTCTTATAAAAACGAAACCGTTCGGCTATTTCTAGTGGTTTAGGAGTTAAATGCTTCTGTAATGTACTTACTATTTCATCAAGGTTCTTATCTGCAGGCTTTTCTGGCAAAAGTAAATCCTTTAATAATGAATACGTTTTGCTTCCAATCAAACTCAGCAGGGTTGGCACTTGATGATTGTCGTCGACATCGTTTGCAGCGAAAAAATGTTGTACTCGTTCGACATACGTCTCCCAGCTTTCTTGGGTTTCATCAAAAACATCAATTTTTCCAATCGTCGTCATTTCTGAACTTATTAAGGTGGCCGATAGGAAAAATCGACTATTTTTGATAGGTTGGTTCATTACTACAGAATTTATGGAATGATTTTATTTTTGGGGGACAGAAGTAATACACTTGGGCCATTAACCAAAAAAAATTTGGTGCATATTTATTGAATTGCATGAGTGTAGCACCCTTGCTACTAAAGCCTACTTTTCGGTAATTGAAAATTAAGTGTTCGCAAGAAACTCGATATTGGGAAATGTATAATAGGTATGGTTCTAAAACTTTTAAGATATTATCACCACATATTGGGCTATGCAAGGAACTAGAATCAACTAGATATCACCATGCATTCATAAAAATTTTTCATTCTGAATAATGGTAAGGCAAAACGACCTAAGTTAATTGACCAAAATGTCTAGAACTTTTGTTTGGATAGTCCAAACTAAAAAATCCTAGTTCCTTGCATAACTAATAGGCACATGAATACTCAGTGAAAATTTCAGGTCAATACCATTTATAGTTTTTTAGTAATCACAAAAACTAATTCAAAAAAGGCCCGAAAATGACATATTGAGATAATGAGCCGGAAAGTTTGGTATAACTAACCAGTTCAAGTTTAAGGCTCAAAATGCCCCAGCTTCATATTTGGTACCTTCCTTTTCTGACAGGTTGTCAATATAGCCTTTTTTTCTCTGTCTTATCTTTTTTCTTTTATTTTTTTGCTTGTCAGAGCTCTTTCGTGTGGAATGGCGGAGACGGTCATAGTCTATTTTCTTGAGACACTTCTTTGTCTGACACCCCGGTTTGATCCCTAGGTTTTCCAATACATCTAGGATGGCTTTAGCTCCATTGTTGAAAATACCAACAGCTAGAAAAGTTGCCAGTTCTACAGTTGGCAGGCTTGAGTGTGTCTCCTTGGTGGCACGCTGCCAAATCAAAGCATTGAAGGCTTCGTTTTGATTCTGAGTACCACCATGGAGACAGGAAGACAGTAGCTGACTCTTGCTCAAATCTGTAAATACTGGCAATATTGAATCTGACACTGCTTCTGGTAGAGGATGACTGTGCGAGTATTCATTTGTGTTCTTGGCCAAATCTCTCTGATATCCGCACCAACTAGTTTCTCCTTTAGGACAAAGGTTGTGGTCTGGATTTGCGTCAGTAGATCTGGTATGGTGAAATATTGCCAAAACAGCATTCTCCATATCTTCAATGCTGTGTGTATTGTTTCTGATTGCTTTACCATAATACACTTGTAAATTGTCAATAACCTTGTCAGTTAGCCGACCCTTGCCACCAATACCTTTGCCATCGCTTAGATGAGTCTTTCCCAAACGTTTCTTTAGGGAACGAAGTCTCGACCCCATTCTCTTCTGCACATGGTCAACACATTCAAGTTTGGTAACTGGTTT